AGTCCAGACGGAATCTACATGCTTGTAAAGGAATACAAAAGCTCAAAAGAAAATAGATTAATCTCCTATTATAAAAGTATCATATAATCATTGTGAAAAAAAAAAGAGAAAAATACAAAAGACTATATAAGAAAAAAGCAGGATCCTGTAATCTCAGCTGTCAAAAATCAACATTGTTAGCATTTTGGTATTTATCCTTTCAGATTCTTTTATGTCACGTGTGTGTGTGTGTGTGTGTGTATAATTTACACAAATAGTAGAATTGTAAACACACCGTTCTGCACATTTGTTTTATAAATGTTCATCTAGGTAATCAGGCCCTATCAGCACTGCTGAAGTTAATATTTTAAATTGCTGCAGAGATTCTACTGTACAGTATGAATGCACCATAATTTATTCAGAAATCCCCATTGTGGACCTATATGTGGTTTCCAGACATTTTGCTATTCAAACCAATGCTCTGTGAATATCCTCATAGCGATGCCATTTGCCTGTGTGTGACTTTATCTGTTGGCTAACTATTGCAACTTGTACACTTAAATGTACCATTTAAAATCTTGCTAGATGTTGCCAAGTGACTTTGCATTTGTAAGTTGTACTAATTTCCACTCCCACCCACAGTGCATGAGTGTGCCCCATTCCTATTTGGAGCAACTCTTACTGTCAGATGGTTCTGCCTTTTTGTAGCAATTGATCTGAAATGTGCCTGCTGCAGTTTCTACCCACCTTTTCTATGTTTGCTCTCTGGGCTCCACACTCCGGTTTTGTGTAGGCTGCTTCATTTTATTTCAGCTTCCCGATGAGTTGGAAGGGTGACTAATGAACCACATCCCATGCCTGAGAGTGGAGCTTGTCTCAGAGAACAGCCCAGGAACATTTAGGCTGTGGGAGCTTATGTAATCACCAGGCCTTTGAATGGAAGAGGCTGAATTCCTGGCTCAAATCCCTTTTGAGCCTAAGCACCTTAACTCTTTAAACAAAACATAAATGGTATTACGCTGTAATATCATCACACAATTTCATTTAGCTCAATATGTCTGAGAGATTTAACTCTGTTTGTACTTACTTGATCTTTCATTGCATTCTTAATTATGGTATGATTTATACCATCATGGTTTAGTTACACTTTCGTCTATTAATGTACATTTAAGTTGTTTTAAATTTTAATGCTGTGGTGGATATTCTTGTACCTGCCTCTTTGTGAGCCTGTGTGGGCATTACTCCCCGGTAGATACTGGTAAGTGGAATTGCTGGCTCCTAGAAGATTTAAAAGTTTACTGGGTTCAGCCAAGTCGCCTTCCAGAGTGGCTGTGCTAACTCCTGCTTCCATCAGTGCACGGAGGACCTCTTTCCCCATCGTTCCCCACAGCATCTGATCCTAAAAAACTTCTGCCATTCTTATGGCTAAAAAATGATTTCTGATGGTCTTAATCTGCATTTCCTGGTTATTAACAGCACTGAGCAATTTTTCATGTTTGATATTGGCCATTGGTATGCTTTGGTGAATTACCTGTTCATGTCCTATGCCCATTTTCTTCTTTGTTTAATCCTTTATATATCAGTTTGTAGGAGTTCCTTGTATATTCTTGATACTTAGTCTTGGCCTGTGATATATGTAGCAAAATTTTCTTCTAGAGACTCTTTAAGGCAAAGGACATCATCATCCTACTCTTGTGCATTTGTCTTGCAGTGTGAGCAGACTGTGTTTATACCATTGTACACCCATGTCATATAGAGCAGCAAAGATCTTCCCTAAAGAAGTTGCCTGATTTAAGACCATCACACAGGAATAAGTATAGAGTAGTGGTAGTGAGAATAGTGTCTTGGAGCACACAAACCCATAACCATTGTGACACACTAGATAAACACAGAAAACCTGAGGACGCATGGACATATGGGTTATCTGTAGCCATTAATACTTTGGGGCCAGACTACCTGAGTTCACATCTGACCTCTGCCCCTTCCTAATAAATGTATGAACTTGGGCAAATTACTTAAATCCTCTGGGTATCAGGTTGCTCATCTGTAAAATGGGTATAATAGGAAGATCTATTTTATAGGATTGTTGTGAGAATTAAATGAGTTAATGCAAAGAATTTTTAGCAGGGCTTGGCACAGGGTGAAATTTGTATGAACATTAGCTATTATAAAAGTTTAGCTTTCATAGTATTTGTTGTATCTGATTTCTGTCCCAAATTTATTGGATTAGGGTGTGTTTCTTGGATTAGGGGTGTTTCTTTTAGCATCTAGTATCACCTCTTTTAAAAAAATTGATTTATTGATTTTTGAGAGAGAGAGAGAGAGAGAGAGAGAGAGAGAGAGAGAGAGAGAGAGAGATCAGTTTTTGTTCCACTTATCCATGCATTCACTGGTTGTTTCTTGTATGTGCCCTGACCAGGGATCAAACCCATAACCTTGGTTCATTGGGATGATGCTTTAACCATCTGAGCTACCTGGTCAGGGCTAGTACCACCTCTTTATGAATTCTTTGATAACATGGTTATATATTGAAAAGGATGAAAAATAAAAATAACAACATGTGTTTTTTAAAAAGGCATACAAATCATAGAAATGAGGTACAGGAGTTCCAATGCACAAAACAACAATTTCTTTTAATATACTTATTGAGGATGGTGAACATTTCTCTTTGCTAAAGTGGTGTGGCTCAAGCAATTATGTAAACTCAATTTATTATTCACTTAGCTGCAGTGTTTGATTAATTTTTTATTTGCAGGGATTGTTACACTATTTCGTAACTCATGCATAAAATGAGATTTGATTGATTTTTATGTGCTGTGATATCAAGGTCCCCAATTCAAGGTTGCATATTGTATGACCGCTGTGAGCTTGCTGTAAGTTTACTGGGCTGTTTTCTTCCTCTGAACTGTTCCCACTAGTTGTCAGTGCGCAGCAGGGCTTGCTGGTTTCACTGGGAATAATGATTTAAAAAAAATGTGGAGAGAAACGTGCCAGACTAAGGCAAGGCTGACTGCAGAGTTTGTTTTCAGCCTTGTGATCCCTGCAGTGTGTGATTTAGTGATTATCTTAAAACGTCCGAATGGATGCAATTGATGCTCCTTGAAGATAGGCTGCTCCTTGTCACCACCCCCTAACTGCCCCAGTCCTCATGTTCTTTGTGTGCCTGCCACCTCACCCGCTATGTGACAGCGAAGAAGGCCAGAGTCCTGGGACATCCCTTGGAGGTTCTGAGACAAAGCAGCGTTCTTAACTTTTTGCTTGTTGATCACTCAACTTGGGAGTGGGACTTGGCAGGCGGGCAATGACAGGCCTTTGACAGGAAGTTCTTCTAGTGCCCCAGTGACATGGCACTCGAGCCTTTGTGCCTGGTGCAGTAAAAGGCTTCGATCCCTACCATTTCACACTCATTAGAATGGTTAAAATAAGAAGGACTGACAATAGCAAATGTTAGCGAGGATGTGGAACCACGAACTCTCAGATGTTGCTGGTGGGAGTGTTAAGTGGTACAAATACCTGGGAGAACTGTTTGTCAGTTTCTCGTGAAGTTAAACACAAACTGTCCCCTGACCCTGGCAATTCCACTTCCGGGCATCCACCTAAGTGACATGCCCACATAAAGACTTGCATGTGCATATTCGTAGTACTTATTCACAATAGCGAAAACTGGAATAATCAATGGGAGAATGGACAAACTATTGGTGGACTATTCCTATGTTGGAGTACTCTTCAACAATAAAAAGAATAAACTACAGCTTCATATAACAACATAGATGATTCTCAAGAAACACGATGTTGAACAAAAGAAAATTACAAAAGTGAACACAGTTCCATTTGTGCAAAGTCCAAGAAGAGGCAAAGCTTCTCTTTGGGATTGGGAAGTGGCAGAGCGGATGCCCCTGGGCTGGGTGAAAGGCGGGGCTTGCCTGGGAAGGAGCACAGAGGCACTCGCCAGGGTGGGACAACGTTCCACACGTTTGGTTACATGGTTGAATATGATCATTAGACTCAACTAACTGGACGCTTATGACCTCTGCATGTTCTTGTATATAAATAATGTATTTATTGGAAACATTTTAAAGGTTATGATGAGCTTTCCCCCCTGTTTCATAGTCCTAATTATTTGTATTCATCAAGGTTGCCATCTTTTCTAATGGGAGGTGACATAACCTCTAACGGTATATCAGGGGTTCTCACCCTGAGGTCCATGGATAGTTTTCAATGGATCCTGATCCCCGTGGAACTGGATGCACAATTTTGCATGTCTGTGTGCATGTATTTCTATTTTCCCTTGAGAAGTGAGTTCATAGCTATCAACATATTCTGAAACAGGTCTCTGACCCAAAACACACTTAAAACAACTTCTGTGTTAGATGGTTCATGCAGAATATGTAGGAAACAGTATCAGTAGTTAACGATGAATGAATAAATGAATAAATGACAAACTGTTTCCAGGTGATGTTCAAAGAACCAAGCTTCCAGTAGGTTACAGATTAAAACGGGCAGATATGTCAGTGGCTCTGTTAAACTAACAAAAATTTGAGTAGCCTCCTACCTGAGAAATAGATAAAGTCCTGATAAAAATAGCATGCAGAATCAGTGTCTCTTTCAACCCCATTTAAAGAACAAGATACCTGTTATTCAAAAGTATCATATACCGTGTCTATATTAAATATTGAAATTAGAGAGATAAACATAATGGAAGCAATGGTTGGGATTCAACTGGAAATAATTATTTAATGCTTTCTCTTCAATGGATAAAACAATTGCCATAGGGAACACCAACAGAACTGTATCAGGTTCAGCTTTGCCAGTGTTCAACAAAAGACAATTTTGCCATGGCTCAGCTATGGCAATTTTTATACACTGAGTTTTGAGAATTGGTTGTTCATACTCAGTCCCTGATTGTAAGGAGACAGTGCAGAGTTAAATTGATGGCATTGGGTTGTAAATGCTTTTTGAGCAGGGAAGTTTCACCCATCACATCTGAGAACTTTGGCTTTCTTTTATGTGGTTATTGACAGGTTTCTGTGGTCTGTTTTGTCCCATGTGTCTTGAATGTGACATCGCCAGGCATTATGGAGAGTGCTTTTGTTGGCCATTGCTGCCTGGGTCGACCTTTGCACTGAGAGTTGGCACCAGAGAGAGATATAAAATATGGGTAAGTGTGTTTGAATGTTTATGTGAGCCTGGATGCCTTTCAAATCTGTGCTTTTCAAAAGAAGAAGAAGAAAAAAAAGAGTCTGGGTAAGATGCTTAAAACACACTTAGAGGGCCCTGGCTGGGTGGCTCAGTTGGTTAAAGCATTGTCCTGTGCATCAAAAGGTTGTGGGTTTGACCCCCAGTCCAGGGTGCATACAGGAGGTAACCAATTGATGTTTCTCTGTCTCGCTGTCTCTGTCTCTGTCTCAAATCAATAAAAACATATCCTCAGGTGAGGATTAAAAAAAAAAAAAACACTTAGTGGAAGACTCTGGAAAAGGAAAGGGAAGAAATTTCTGATTTCATTTGTTCCTAGGAAGTATGTATATTAACCAAAATGTCACATTATGAAGGGTATTTCCAAGGGGAACTTGTTATAATGCAGATCACTGGCCAATGGGCCATTTCTGTTTCTGTCATTGCATCAAGAGAAGATGACAGGTACAATTGTATCACATTTGGAAGACATATTTGGGATGGTCTGACCTAAAATGCAGCCTATGTGACACATGCAGAATTCACTTTGGGGGCTCCCTGGGGACCCTTCAACTTCTCAGCTCAGCCAAGATTGAGTTACAGTGAGACACCTAGGACAGACAGCACACATAGTAAGATGTGGGCAGTTAAAAAAAAAGCATCTGAATATTCATGTGAAATGGTCCCTAAAATACATTTTTAAGTGAAAAGAGAACGCAACATAAAAATATGAAATTGTTCACATAAAAGCTTGTATGTGCATATACTTGTGTAGGCAGGATTTATTTGGAAGCGCAGATAACAAACTGTCACCACTACGTGCCCTTGGGCAGGTCACCGAGTCGCTGGGGCCACCTGTTCTAGGGGAATTTACTTTTCCTTCCTGTCCCTTCTTGTTGTTGGAATTTTGGACCATGTGGACTCATTACCCATTTCAAAGAAATAAATAAAATAATTATAAATATGAAGTCCTAAGAGGAAAAAAAAAAAGAGATGTTGCCAGAGAAAGCAGTGGTTTCAAGTACGAAGCCTGGACCTTGCAATTGCAAGGACTGATTAGCCGCTGAGCCACATGGGACTTCAGTGAGCCAGTGGAGCTGTGCGCATCCCTGCGTGCTGACCTGGGGGTGCTGGTGGATCTTGGAAGCTGCACAGGGGATGTGCCACCAGGTAGTGGTGTCCCTGTGCGGTCCCTGGGTAGCAGATGAGCCTGTGTGACCTCATCAGGACAGACACCAGCTCTCCCCCGCAGGGCACGCTGTGCGAGGACTGGCTGGCCGTGCACTGCTGTTGGTTGTTTTCCATCTGTCAGCTGGCCCGGGAACTCAAGATGAGAACCTCCCAGCTCTACGAATTCTCTGCAGTCCCTTCAGTGAAAGACGCCTCTATTTGACGGAACTCCTCACTCCGTCTTGCCCTCATCTCAAAACCCTCTTAGTAGAGAGATCATTCTCATTAGGTTTTCACTGAAATAAATGAAAATAAATGATCCTCGCTCCTACTGTATTTGCTGTTCTTTCTTTACTCATGCCCCCAGTGAAGACTGTTCTTTGTCTGCATTTGCTGTGCCTGGAGTTTTGGAAGCCTGCATCTTTCACCATCTTCCTACTGCCATCCTTTCCCAAGGGATGTGTGGGAAGCTGGATGAATTGTCATGCCGCTTGCTCCTGCTGAGCCCCCTTTCCCCAAAGCACCAGTCATGGGGCAGGAGGTGGTTAATATTAGTTAGTACCTGGACTGGGCACCAAGTGTCACCAAAACACAGAAGCAGTAGACTCCTAGAGTCGTGACTGCACGGACAGAGAGCCTCAGGGGCCTGTTGATCTGGATGCCTCTCTGCGCCTGGGAAGTCTCCCGCCCCAGGAACAAAACCTTCAATAGGCAACTGTAGGCAACAGTTCTGGTTGACTTGAATCGTTTCTCTTCCCCGCCCCTTCCCTTCCCAAAGATATGGAGAAGTCTTAACTCCTGGTATCTGTGAATGTGACCTTATTTGGAAATAGGGTGTCATGGACACAATTAAGTTAAGATGAGGTCATTAGGGTGGGCTGCTGTCCTTACAGGAAGAGGAGAAAAGAGACACAGAGACACCAATGCAGCCGTGTGACCCTTGTGTCAGGCAGTGGAGTGAGGCTGTCACAAGCCAAGGATGGCCTGGGGCTACAGAAGCTGGGAGAGGCAAGGTTGCGGAGAGAGTGTGCCCTGCCAAGGTGTTGATTTTGGACTTCTAACCCCCAGAACCGTGAGAGAATGTTTCTGTTGTGGTACATGGTTACAGCAGCCCTAGGAAACTAATACACCCACCCGCCATCTATCAGGTGGGTAGAATCCTCTGGTTTTTGTTACGGCAACCCCACAGGACAGCGCTGAAGAGCCTGGGTTCTGAAGCCGAACCGTCTGGTTCATATATTAATGGTGTAACTATAGACATATTTGCTAATCTCTTTGTGCCTCCGTTTCCTCATCTGTGAAATGGTAGTTCTAACCTCATAGAGCTGTGAGGATTCTAACAGTCAAGACACAGTGTCACAGGTGTGCACAGGTGTGCACAGGTAACCAGGTTCTTAGTGATCGAGGACAAAGAATTGAACCGAACACACAAAGTTTATAGCATAAAGAAAGAGGGGAGGTTTATTAAGTGATAGTACATACCACAGGACATGGGAGTGAGCCAGCTCTGAGCAGAGGAAAAAGGGACCGTGGGCTGGGGGATTCTATTCTTATAGGGGCAGAAGCCCCCCTGCTAGTCTTTGGTGGGCTTTTCCTGTGCAGGTACAAGGAGTTGGATTTCAAAGCTACTGCGCATGCATGGTTTCCCATGACTTTCTTGATTGGCTACTGGAGAAGGAAGTCCCACAATGTTATTTCATTATAAGGATATTATAATGAATCAGGGGTAGTGTGGCGCATTCTATGATTCAGAGTTATCCCAGAAAACAGGAACAACCCGTCTTAGGGGGTCTTTGTCATGTAGAGATGTTTTCTACCTCAGCCCTGCGGGGCCTCTGGAGCTTCCTTCCTGACTACCTCCTGCCTCAACAGTGCCTGGCAGATAGCAAGCAAAACTGGAAAAGATACCGGAGCTCGTGCTGCCTGTCACCACCAAACCCAGTTAGCAGAGAGTGATTGAATCTCTATGGGCACTTTATTCAGATGGCCAGTGATCTGAGAATATGGCGGGTTCATACCCTAACAGACCATCTTACATTTTCTTTCCAGGCCAACGCTTTTATAACAAGGAATAAATAAGGTGCAGTGAGGGATTTTGAAATTCAGGGAAAATTAGATTAAAAAACTGCAGTATTCTCACCCTGGGCAGTTAGCTATTCCCAGGAGTGGTTGGTCGTCTTGTCTTTCCCTGGAATATAATGGCCCAGATGCCTCCAGTTGTCCCCAGGCGGTAATCTCTAGCAGTGCTCCAGGAGGTTGGCTGTTTCTCTCAGGAGCCACGATGGGCCTTATCTGTGGTTTCTGAAACAAAAGCTTTAACATATGCACTACTTACTAGCCTTATAACTATTTACTTTAAACTAAAATTTTCCAACTCTTGAGTCCCTTATCACAAGGACTCAGGCTGTATGAGCTATTCTACCACTGCCTGGTATTTGCAGCACATTATACTGGTTTTCCATTTACAGTTGAGACATAAAGTTTTAATTAAAGTTTCAATGAAAATGAAGTCAATTAAAGAAAGAATATTAAGTAAATAAAAATGTAATACAGGATGTATTATAGAATTGTACACTTAAAACCTGTAATTTTATTAACCAATGTCACCCCAATAAATTTAATAAAAAATTTTAAAAATATGGGTGGTTGGTGGATATAGCAAATATTGCAGTGATGAACACCAATTCTCTTGAATGCTTACATGTGCTGAGCACTGTTCAAAACACTCTCCATATTTTAAGACATTTAACCCTTAACATCCGCCCCTCAGGTAGGTGCTATTACATCTTTATTTTTTTTTTCTATTTACATCTTCATTTTCCAGAAAATGAACCTGAAGCACAGAGAGGTTAAGTGAGTTGCCCAAGGCCACACAGCTGGTAAGGGACAGGTGGTCTGGGTCTTGAGGCTGTGCTCCTAACGTCTGCGGCTGCGCTAAGCAGGCAGAGAGGCCTTCTCACCAGGAGACCTTCTTGGATCTTCGTGGTTGTGCAGACCGGTGTTTGCTCTGTGGAGGAGACTCAGCCCGGCTGGGCGTCTGTCGCTCACCCCTCCTCCCAGGCACCCCCACCGCAACTAAGCAGTTCCCCTCTGACACCCAGTGACTGCCCTCCCAGGCCTCCCTTTTGCACGTCCAGAGCAGCTGCCAGGAACCAAAGCTCTTTGGAAAAATTAAGTGCTCAATGCTGACGTTTAGTCTATGACCAAGTACTCCCCTCTCCAAGTCAGTGACTGAAAAAACCAGGCCCGAGAGACAGCTCCATTACGTGAAAATAAACCTGTTTTATTGTTTCTTACTAAAGCATACATCAGGCTTCACAAGCTTACAGCCTGGGACAACAAGCATTTTTGGCAAAGGAGACTTGAGTAATCTCCCCACGTCCACAGGAGCGACACTTCCTGCGTGGAGAACAGACGGCATTTTACGCACCAGTTTCTGGCCCGTGTGTCTCAGCTGATGTACGAGGTGCAAATGGACCTCTCCAGCAGGGGAGCCGCCCGCCTGTTTTCCCCTTTCCTCCTTCTGATCAGCCTGGGTGGTAAAGAGCACACTTAACACTTCATTAGAGCCACACACCCAGACAAAGAAAACTCTGGGCTTTGAAAGCATTGAGTCTATCACGAATCACGAATCACGAATCACGGAACATAACACAGAGAATTAGCACGGGGATACACTTCTTGGGAATCTGACGCTGGAGAGAAGTCCCAAAAGCAAGGTGGTTTAGGGCCGTGACTCCTGATTGCCTCTAGAACATGTCAAGTCCAAGAATAAAAGGCACTGAACCAAAGTATGTGCCTCCTTCCCAGGAGAAAGGATATTCAACACCAAATATTGAAGCGAGAGACAACTCTGATGTTAAACTTCCCATTTCCTCAGACTTACAGTGAGCTGTCAGCGGCCCAGCTCTGAGAGGTACCCAAGAGTGAAGGCAATGTTCTGTGTGTTTTTCTTCTCACTAGAAAGTTTCATTTGGTTTTCCGAGATGCAGTGTGTGACACGGATCTCTGATGATTCCATGTGGGCAAACGACACCCACACACATGCAACAACAGACATGGCAAAGTAACTCATACACATGACAAATTGCAACACCAGAAACCCAACAAACAAACCCCAGCAAAATTCTTGGCTCTACAGGGGCACAGTCTAAGAAATAAGGTGCCAGGCCTGGAACTCTCTATTTTTTTGGAACAAATATATGAAAAGCCTGGAAGTCCTTAAGTGTCTACAACCCTATAAAATGAATTTTTATATGTTTATATATTTTATATTATCTAAGATTTATTTATATAATAGTCCATAATGACTGACATGTTATACTCTTTTATAAGCAGTATTCGCAAAAATATTTCCTCACAAAGATTCTCTTTTGGTCTATTAAAAACACTGTACTTAAAAAATAAAACAAGCAGAGACGCAAGAAGAGTCTATAGCTTTTTTCTTATATTTCCAATGAGGAGGGAATTTTTCTCCCCTTTCATTTTCTCTTTCCTCTTTTTTTTTTCTTTCCCTAAACAACACACTCTCCTCCCTGCCCCAGCATAGTCATAAGAAGCAACAATCCCAGAAGATAAAACTCAGACTTCATGGTTAGCACACTATTCTGGGGTAAACTTCTGGGCTGACCTCATTCGGATCATTATAACTTATCTTTGCCCTCCTGCCCACCACCTCCATTACCGACATCACCGCCACCACCTCCGCCACCTCTGCCACCTCCACCTCCACCACCTTTTGACCCACGACCATTTGGAAACTATATACTGGAACTGACAGTCCAGAGATGAAAACGTTAGGAAACGAGGGAGCTTTTCTTAACCTTCAGGGTTTGGTTGGGAAGAAATCAGAGTCTTCATTTTGTGTTTTTAAGAAAATATTTGGTTGGTTGGTTAAGCAGGTTCTGAGGAAAAGCTAAGTCTCCATGAAACATTCCACCATAAACCCTGGAAATTTCCCAGACACTTCAAAACCAGCAAGTAAAAAACTAAGAGAGGTGGTTTCCAGTTGCTTTAAATATGAGGTGGGAGTCAGTGTAAAAAGAAAGCCTGAGCAAGAGGGCTCGAAGACAGGGCTATGATTAGCTAGGATGGTGTCCTGGTTTCTGGGGATTAGAAGTTATATTGTTTCTCCCCGTTTCTAGAACTTGCTTTCATTTGGGCGGCTTGCCTTTACTTAACCTGTCCATATATCATCAATTAAAATAATACTCCTTCCAACTGTGACATTCAATGACTTTACCCTGGGAAAAAAATGAAGCCATTAAAACCTATGTATAGTGCGCTGGAAGGCGTCACGGTAGCAACAAGTAGGTTCCAGGATCTGAAGGCAGCATCTCTATATTCATTGCTGCTGAGGCTACTGAGGAGCCAACCAAACCTGAATTCATCTCAGAGGAAATGGAAACAACACTTTAGTCCCAGGGGTTCAGAGAAAAGGGATGACTGACAATTGGCAGCACCGTCACTGACCATGTGTGGGAAGATGTCATCACTGAGTTATCCTTTCTGTGGTCTTCTCATACCTCCTGCTTTCTCACGGACCACTTGGCAGGTAAAGCCAATACTTTGGGGCTTCTTGTTGCTTATTATCGCATTCCCCTGAGGTTAACCGAAAAAGGGGTGTGGTTAAGAAGTCTACGTTACTCATCTCATGAAGGGATGGGTGCTGGCTTCACGTAGAAGAAAAACATTTCTGTAACCACAAAATCGAATCCTTACTCTGCTCAAGGTTTGGCTGATGGTGCTCCTGCTTACATGTAGGTCTGATGACAGCCTGAGGATGCTTCACTGCCAAATTATGATCTTGAACTTGAAAACAACCAGCAGACCCAAATGATGCTGCATTCTTGTCACTGTCTTTGGTAATCAGGGCACATAAAAATGGAATCCTTCTGGATGTCTTAAGTTCATGGAGAAGATCAAAATGTATGGCTCAAAGAGTCTCAGGGTACTTGTGAATTACATTTATCTGTGTTAGCACGGATAATTTAAAACTATACAGTTTTTTTTTTAAAACCAGGGGTAGACTATCTACTAATGACTTGTCCTTTAAGATAGTTTATTTCTGAATAAAAAAGAATGCATTTTTATATCTTTAGACCTGAAATGGCCTCTCTGTAAGCATTGTAGTCTGTGGCATCTCTCTGTAACACTGTGGATTTTTCTTATCTGAGATTCTTTAGGTACCAAGTCCCTGTTTCCTTGACCAGGATGTTCTAACAGAAGCCCTCTGGGTTTGAAGGTGTTGTTGTGGGGTGGGAGGTGACAGAGTGGAGTTGGAATGGAAAAGGATGAGGATGTGGCAGAGGGAATGGGATGCTAGGTCAGGAGTCGGGCAGGGGAGGGGCGAAGGACAGGGACACTGCAGGTGCATGGGCCTGTCTGGCTTGAACAGCCAGAGAACGTTCTGCTCTCTCCTGGACTGCTCTCATTCTGAGCTGGAGAGATAGGCCAGGCACAGAGCTGAAAGGCATTTGATGTCCAGTCATTCACGTGTCAGTTAGGTGCCAAGGTGTGAGAAATTGGCAAGATCCAGTTTGGCTTTGACAACAGAATGAAGTAACCTGAAACAACACATGACATACTTTTGTTTCTCTATCCTGGCCTACCACCCATTGATACTGTGGGTGGAGATGTGTTAGTTCTTTCTCCTATTATCCTTCTGTCTTGGAGGCCAGCCTATTGGTATCCCTATACCATCCCTGATGTCCAGGCAATATCACAGGGTCCATAAACTCTCCATCGAGCAGTTTCCATCCAATCTGGTCACTTGTTCTTGTCAATATCCCCGTTGTTGCTAGCTCCTCCTGGGAAGATTACCAAGGCAGAGTCTGTGAAGGGGAAAAAGAATTTCAGAATCTCTTGTGTGTGAACGCATCCTGAGAAGTTTCTACTTCTTTAAAATTCTTATATAGCTATATAAGAAAGAGAGAATCAAGACAGTAAAATGTTCGTATCTAGGGAGCCTAGCTGGAGGGTATACAGGACTTCTTTGTACTATTTTTAGCAACATTTTCATAAATCTGACATTCTTTCAAAAATAATAAAGTTAAAATCCACAAGCCCCCAGGATTGCTCTGAGGCCTCAAATTTTGATTACCAAATTCAACTTGCATCTCTAGCATCCCTCAGACAATGTAATCAATGTCCTTCCCTTCCTGTCCAGCCCCTGACCCCTTTTCCGGAGGCTGAGCCTGGTCACAGGAGATGCAGCCAGCACCTCGAGTGCACAAGCCCAGGTGAGGGCAGGTGGTTTGAGTGGCTGGAGTTGGCTGCTCCCTATGACTTTGCTGCTAGTGCTTGGCTCCTGGCCCTTTTGAGTGTAAATAAAGCCCCACCTGACCATGCTGAAGCGGGACAGGAGAAACCTAAAATGATGGAAAGTTGGTCCAATAACATTTAGGAAGTCTTGCCATCTAAAAGACCCAGCCTGAGGGTTTTTCCACAAGTGAGTGCCCATGAAACCCCAGTAAAACAGGAAATGAGTAGGAGAGGGTTTTCCATCTTCTGCCCAGCTTCTTTCACGGGAAACCTGATTTCTTTTCTTACCAAAGGCTCTTGCTGATTCAGCAGGCCAGTTTTATCTTCGGGGACACTTGAATGGTGATCACAGCCTCATTCTGGGTGGGGCGGCATTGGACAGTCAGATCTTGCCAGCCACGGGAGACATCAATTTGGGGAGTCTTACCCGAACCCCCAGTCTCCAAAGGCAGCATTGTGACCCGTGGCTCCAGAAACAGGGGCACTGCAAGAGCCCTGAGCCGTCAAGCAGGCAGCTGCATTTGGAATCACGACTGAGCTCCCCCGTGCTCTCAGAGCTTGCAAGTGCCCGTGGAACTGACTCATTGGCTGCCGTGTCCCACTCAGCATGACAGCGAGCAAGAGCTGGCAGAGGCACCAGGTGGCTGCTTTACATTCAGTGGGAGAAGCAGGCCTGAACACAAAGTCTGTGATTATTAGGCTGGCTCCCGCGTCCCCCCACATCAAGAAGTCACACAGGATTTGGAGGTATGCTGTCTTCACTGCACACCACCAAACGCAGACAGGAGTTTCATACCGCTATTGGTGACTTTGAGTCCTTAAAAGGGAAGGCACCTGTGTTAGATGTGCCTAAGCTGGTGCCCGTGCTGATGCTGGGTACAGGCCTTTGGAGGTGGGTCAGCCCATTAAAATTGCAATGGGCCCAGAAGTGGCGGCTTTGAACTGTGCATCAGGCCTGGCTTTAGCAGCTGGAATAATGACCCTTGGAGGCAGAAGGCAAGGTTATTTGAGATTACTACTGCTGGATCCCAAGGGAGTCGCGTGCGGTTTGTTTGCTCTTTTAACTACATTTATTGTGATGTAGCATTTCTGAGTGAGTGCAGAGGCAGGGAAGTAATATGGAAGTAACTGCCACGGGAAGGCTGGCCGCACATGAATCTGACCTTCCAGGTTGTGCTAAATGATGTAGAAAGAACTTCAACTCTGAGATCGACTGACATTTTAATGGGCCCCTGAAAATCCCATCAGTGTGTGAATTTAGTTATGGCTGGTATTGCGCAGTGCTGAGTAGCAGCCCTTGTTAGTGCCAGGTCTACTGGCCAGGGGCTTTCAGATTAGGCAGGTAATAATTCTTTGTTTCCTGAGCACTCAGAAGACAAGTCTATTTGAAATAGAAAACTCAGATGTCTGCAGGAAAGCTCTCCGTCCCATCTTAAATGAGGTGGCAAGTAGTTAGCAGTGCAGACTTGAGTCAGATTGCCTGATTTTATTCCCAAACTCTAATTCTTAACTGTGTGACCCTGAGGAAATTATTTAATTGCTCTAGGCCTTAGTTTCCCTATCTGTAATATGGGGATAGTAACAACATTGACTTTGTATGGTTGTGGTTGAGGTTTTTAAACCAGTCAATGTAAGCTAAGAGCATAGAATAGTGTGTGGCACATAGCAAGGGTCTGTAATTGTTGGCTCACAGGTATTATTATGAATTAAGAGACCTCTTTAAGTCTAATTATTTTGCTCCTGCTTCTTAATTATCTTAATGGAAAACCCTCTAGGTGGATACAGATTATTGAAGTAGTTCCCTGTCATATCCATTACTAGAATTTCTTTTGTCTTAAAAATCTAAGTTTCAGTTTTCTGAATTGAGTTCTTAAAATTTTACATCCTAACCTACAAAATGAGGATAATGCTGTCTCTGTATTTACATGGCTGTCATAGATGGCCTTTATTTTTAAATCTCATTTTATAGATGAGAAAATCAAGACTCAGAGAGGTGAAGTGACTTGCCCAAAGTCACAGAGTGAGTCACACTTCAAATACAACTGAGGTGTTCCAATTCTATAGCCTGGAATCTTCTGTCCTGAAGAAAGGTGGGGGGAAGGGAGGGAGAGGAATAGGGCAGGAAGAAAGAGGAGGAAGGGGAGGAGGAGGACCGGAGAGAGATTCCTAACTAGCAACTAATAAGTATTTTCGAATGAAGAAGTGGCATGCAAATTAAATAAATACATCCTAATAATAACAAACGAGGTGACATTTCATGTCTATGCAGTTCCAAACAACCAGTTTGACTGCTGAAAGAATGACAGATTGCTTTTGACTGGCTGTGTGGGCATTGCTTTAAAGAGCTGTAAGGGCCAGTTGCTTTGTAAGAAGGTGAGTTCTTAAGATCCTGCAGCCCTGGAAAGCTGGTGCCCGAGCCAGGCCCCTTGTTTTAGAGATGGGAATGGGACTGGAGCAAAATGCTTGTGACATCACCCACACGTTCATCCGTCTTAAGAAGGCCCTTCCTGGCAGCGAAAAGAGGATTCATACATCCGCCACTTACGCGTGCAACAGGTATTTATTCGATGGTAAAAAAAGTTTGATTAATAAATGAATTTCTTTGACATGTTGAGCTTTTTCCTGTTCACCTTGCCACGCTGTCTGGTTCCTTCCTAGTTTTCAAATCTTGGTTCAAATGTCACCTCCTTGGAGAACCCTTTCCTGGTGACCCTACCTAATGTAGCTCATACCTCCCACCATTCTGGGTCCCACCACCTTGTTTTCTTTGCAGCATCTGTCACAGAGAAATAATTCTGTGTGTTTAATTCTCTACCATTTGTCGTCCTTCACAAAGGCAGGGACCTTCCTTCCATTTTTCACTGAGGTACCCCAACCACATGGAACAAAACCTGGCACTCAGTAGATGCTCAATCAATATTTGTGAAATGAAAATGAATGAGGTGACATTGATTTCTACCCAGGAAGAAAACATTCTGCTACTTTAATTGGAGATGAAGTGAGAGGTAGGATGTTGGCCAGGAGGCCCTTGGTCATAATGACATGTCCAGCAGTGGTTTGACTAATCAGCGCATGCATTTTCTGAATTACAAACAGTGCCAGGGACATTTAATTTCTGTTAATTGTCACCAAGAAGGAGGGGTTGTTTCTGAAACCAGCTGGAAGCCTGGTGTGTCAGACCAATTTGCAAATCAGAATGGGCATTCCATAAACCTGTCGCCAACCTTGTGAAGCTGCAAGTCCCCAAGAGGGGCAGCACCAGTGTGCACATAGGCTGCACACAGGGTCACAGAGAGCCCTAAACTGGAAATCTTCAACAGGCGAGGAGGTGAGGCCATGGCAGCGACAGCCATAGAGGAAAGACAAGTGAGGGTTATGGTGTAAGTTGCATTTAACAATAACTGTCACATTGCCTCAACCCTGGTGCCATTCACCAGCTTATCTGAAAGGTGCGGAGCACAAAGAAGCTGAGATTCCAGAGTGGGCCCTACTGCTTCCTCACGGTGACCTTAGAGAAGCAATCAGTTCTCTGAGCTGCAGCTGCTTGATCTATTTATATCAGGGACAATAACACTTAACTCATGGGGTTGTTGTGAGGATCAAAGGAGAAAATGCATGAAAATAATAATGATAACTAACCTTACAGAGCATTTTCTTTTTTAAGAAAGATTTTATTTATTTTTAGAGAGAGAGGAACAGAGGTAGAAGAAGAGGGAAAGTAACCTCAATGTGTGGTTGCCTCTTGCACACCCCCAACCAGGCAACCGGCCCACAACCCAGGCATGTGCCCTGACTGGGAGTCAAACCAGCGACCCTTTGGTTTGCAGGCTGGTGCTCAATCCCCTGAGCCATACCAGCCAGGGCACAGTGCATTTTCTATATGCTGAGCACTGTGCTAGTGACTTTATGAACATGATCTCATTTGATCCCCACCAAAGCACTCAAGGAAAACATAATTAGTACCTGCATTTTACAAGCAAGGGAACTAAAGGTTGGGGAGGTTAAATGACTTGCCCATGATGACATGGGAAAGAATTCAGTCACCTGACTCACTGGGCTCTTGACCACCCTGTAACTGCCCCTCTATGGATTACCTCAGTACTTGGCACTTAGTATACATCTAATGAATGGCAGTTACTAAGATTCTGTTTTTGTAGTTAGCATTTCTCTTGCTTACCTGCATTCAAGTCTTTGTCATACCTACAAACTCCTTCAACACCAACCAATTCTAGAGTCTCTTCTGCTCATGGGCATCTGGTCTACCTATCTCCCTTGATCTTCCAATACACCTGTGAAGTGCCTACTATTGTTTCCATTCTTCAGATGAGGAGAGAAAGTCTCAGAGAGGTTAGTTAACTTGGTCCAAGGTCACACAGCCAAGAAATGGTGGGGCCAGGATTTGAATTCAGGGACATGGAGTTCCAGAACCCAGGTGCTTTTCTTTCCACATAACATTTCTCCATGCTACCTATCATCTTTCAGAACCTTTTTCTCCTCAGTGAAGCTCTCCTGACAATCAAAAGCTCCTCGTGGCTCCACTCTCTCACTTCTGCTGCATGATAGAGCTCTT